TCGGTGACCTTGTCGATCGATACCGTCGGTCTTTTGAGCGTTATCGCTCTGAGATCTCGAATTGCTTAACAGCAACTGAGCGTTCTCAAGCCGAACTGCGATGTCAGATTGACCTCCTTGTAAGCTTCCAGCGTTCATATGCACCTCCGGTGCAGTACTTCCCGCCTCCTTCAGCCGATAGTATGGGGACAACCTCTTGAATTCCACCGAGGCAGAGTTGAGGAAATGGCTTGAGCAAGCCAACATAGACACAGGATGTGTTCTCATCTTCGTCGGAAGGTTCAGCGTATAGGCTAAGCCTTTCTTGCCTATGACCTTAAAAGGTCCAATAAAGCGTGGACGTAGCTTGGTTTTGTATATCGCAGACACTGCGCAAGTAGGTAAATTCGTAGCGTTTAACAAAAACTGAATCGCCCACTTTGAACTCATGTTCATTTTTCCTGCCTTTGGCATCTGATTGTTCCTTTTGAACATCCTGGCTTTCAGCCATAGCGTCTTTGACGTGACGTAATACGTCAAAACGCGTTGACAGAAAGGCTTCCATATTCTTGAGAGTCGAAACAGGGCTGATATCAGCCAAGCCTTCGGCTATTTCTCCCCCAGTAAGCCCTGATGTGGCAGGGGGGTAACGTGAACGGAACGCAAGGGTTGACCAAACCATTCATATAGAATGGGGTGAAGCATGTCGAGGCATTCACCGCATTATTCAACGCAAACTCAATGAGTGGGAGCATCTTGCTCCATTGCTTGGGTAAACACTACAAAGCATATCGCCAAGAACGCGGTTGACGCGTTCAGTCTGACCATCGGTCTGCGATGATCTGCTGTGGACATGTCCAGTCGAGTGCCCAGAACTTAACAAGGGCATACTTTATCGCAAGTAGCTCCTTGTCATGAACTGGATTGTTCTTTTCTGCAGCTTTCAGCTGGCGAGATTCAAACGCGATGACGCGTTCTTGACCCTCAAAGTCAATTTGAAAGAGTACACTGCCAAAGGCAAAGTCCGAAGCGTCACATACGACGCTAAACGGGCGATCAAGATCATGCAGGGCCAGAATTGGCGCCTAAAAGGACTTTCCTTAATGGCTTCAAAAGCCTCGGGGTGCTTGGTTGGTGTTCCAACACCATTCCACATCCTTTTTAAGGAGATTCGACAATGGCCTAGCCACTTCCGCATAGTTGTGGCTATTCTTGTGCAGGTAATTTGCCAAGCCCAACCACTTGTCCTACTGGCTCCTCGGAACCGGCCAATCCACTATAACTTTGACCTTAATAGGGTTTGCCCGGATTCCTCGCTTCCCAATAAAGCATCCCAAAAAGGGAATATTTTCCTCACCGAAGATGCATTTGTCAATATTGGCATACAACCTATGCATTCTCATGCAACCGATCACAGCTGATGTAGTTCTCCACATCAGTCTTGCCATTTTCGGCTCAACTAAGGACGAATATATCGTCAAAGTATGTCGGTGCATACGCCCTATGGAGTCGAAACAACCGCGTCACTAGACGTTGCAGGTGCGTTAGATAGCCCTTGTAGGCATCACTAACCACTCCCAGAGCATACCGCTCGGAGTACTGACCGCTGTCAGCGGGATATCACTAGCTTGTATGAGCAGTTGGTAATATCCATCGACTAAGTCGAGGGCACTGTACATCGTACATCCCACCATATTGTTTGGAAGAACATCCTTGCGAGGAATCGGTGTTTGAGCCGGAATAGTGGCTGCATTCAGCTTATTGTAAGCATGCACTATTCGCCACTTCCCATTAGGCTTTCTCACACAAAAACGTGGGCGTAGAGTGAGGAGACTTACTCTCACGCACCATGCCAGCCGCGTGCTTCGCACGAAAGAACTCGTCAATGACGTCACATTGTTCTCGTGGCAGCGGCCACTGAGGCGTCACTCAATACTTGGTTCCTGGAACCAAGTCAATCGCATGACGTACACCTCTATCCGGAGGTAACCTCGTAGGAGGTTCTCTGGAGACAACATCTCCATATTCCTTCAACAAAGTAAAGTAAGGACCTGATGGGTCCTTCAGAATCTGCGATCCACTACGCACATTCAGCGACTTATTGGTATCTTCAACAACTGCTTTATACAAAGCGATGAGGAGTTCAACTCCTCCTCAGGTCGTATAACGACCACTTCGACGATGTAGCCTGCCTGTAAGGCGCTGACAAACTCGGCAAAGGACAAATCGTCCAGCTCTAACAGAGCACTTACTGCGGTATAGTTCAGCTTTAACAGAGCACTTACTGCGGGTATAGCTGAAAGAGCCATCGGCTCTTCAACATCCCCAGTCAAACCATTGACGAGTGTATATAGCTGTTCGCTATCACCGTCACTCACAATATCATCGTCGCTATTCATGATGCTCTCAGCATCCGACGCTTCAGCGTCCACATATGCACACACCTCAAGGTCAAAGGCTACTTCGTTTACTGACTGCACCCCACCCTCCTGGGTCAATGCCTCATCATGGGGTGTTCGCACCTCTTTTTCCGCAAAGACAACCGTCTTTTTTGACTTCACCCGATCCTCTTGAGCCAGTACCTCGTCACTAGGTGCTTGCACCTCGTTGTCCTCAGAGACAACATCCATTTGTGACTTCACCCGACCCTCCAGGGTCAGTTCCTCGTCACTCATGTCACTTGGACTCATGTCCTAACATCTTGGCTTGCAGCCACCAACACTACTCACGGTGTTTAATGATGTAACATCATTCTCATGACACATGTCATATGTGCCATCTAGTGGGTTCTCAACCACACTGTCGACAGTCATTGGACCTCGCCCAGGACTATTGTCCTCGACACTTACAGTGTCTACAAAGTCGGATATTCCGACATCCAACATATTGACCGACTCTATCCAATATCCGCGCCAAAAGCGCTTTTGCTTCCTAGCAAAGGTGGGTTCATGACTCTCCAGATCCCCACCAGGAGCATTGCGCGTTGCGCCTAAGGTCTTCGACCTCCAATCAATCGATGGCTCATGGCGTTCTATCCATGCCATGCCTAGGATGAGGTCATACCTCGCATCCAGGTCTTAGACCAAACAGCGTTATATGCTGTTAAAGTAAAAACTTTACAACTTTACATCTAAGTCCATCGGGACTTTGGGTGCCGTAACACGCGTACCCGTCGCTAAGCGAACTGTGACTGTGTCACTTTCACGCGCTACAAGCGCTTCAGCATACTGCTGACTACCTTCCACGGTGGCACGGCGCACACAATTGCCCGATGCCCCCGAATCGATCATGATTCATGGCTTATCATAGCCCTTAACCGTACCTTTGACGACTAGCAAGCCTGGCTTGCAATCTCGTTCCGATTTTGAGGGTTTGAATCTCTTTGGGGCTGAGCTCTGTTTACTTCTACCTCCTAGAGATTCAACAGAACTCAGTTCTTTCCCAGTCGGGCGCCCCGCGCCTTCTGGGTTCCGCCGTTTCCCCGCGGCAAACCAAACGGTTTGCCCATGGGGCGTCGGCCCTTCGAGGCCTAATATGCCTTTCTTGCAGGGCATTTTGCCATCAAATGGCCTGTACTCCTGCAGATACAACATCTGCACATTTTTTGCTGCCCCGCAGCTTGAAGCTCAGCTTCTTCATCCTCCACTTGACTACAGTCCATGGTACATACCCATCAGACGAGTAGTTATAAGTGGCAGGCCTAGCGGCCTTAGAGTTGGTCTTGGCATTCCATGCCACCCCCAACAGCTTTCTCAAATGAGGATGGGTTTACCCGGAAGACTTTCGTTCTGGCAACGCCAACTCGGAGGCCCTCCATATGATGGTCACTGCCTCAGGCATAGGGTCTATGACCATAGCAGCGATGAGAGTTCTCAGCTCTTGCACATATGGCGCAATCTCACGCTTACCTGGCGACACGCCAAAAACCGCGACCGGTTACGGTGTGCTTGGTTTGGCGGTTCATACTGCCGGGTCATCTGATCTTCCAGATCGGCCCATGTTGGGAGCACATCTTGCAGTGATGCACCGCATGTTAATGCCCACTGTTTGGCTAAGCCACCTAACTGCCCGTGGCAAAGCCCACACGGTACGGTTCATAGGTGATGTCAGCTATAAACATAGCCGACTCAACCTGCCGGAACCAAAGCATAAGTTTGTCACCTTCATTGCCGTCGAACTTATCGACTCCATTTGTATGGGTTTTGGTCTGAGGTGCGGGACTGACTACAAGTGCTACCAGGTGTAGCCGAGTCACTGTAGCTACGCTACTTGTGCACTATGTGCAGGTGCACTATGAGCAGAAGAAGTAGTCAAACTACTGTATCAAAGCTACTTATGCACTATGTGCAGAGGAAGACAAGATCAAAGAGATTATATGTCTTAGGGTGTTTAACCCTCCTAAGCCAGCTTGTAAGCTTGTGCCTATCGGTATTGACCGAGTCTCAGAGAGAATAGTATCAAAGATACAATTTCTATACGCTCAAGCTGTAAGGCTTACAGAGCAGGTTTGAAACTGATTTATATTTATGTTTATTTTCTAACACTAAATAGAACACCCACTCTATACTTATGGCTAGTCACTATTTACTGGCTCTATAGCCTGTTATTATTATGCAAACATGTATAGTCACTATACTTAACTAAGTGTAGTGACCACGTGGCTCTCTGACCCTTCGTACTTCAGGTACGGTCACATCACTTACTTTTGTACCTAAGGTACAGCCACGCCACATTGGTGTGGCAGGTGTGTATGTAAAATACACACCTTCGAGTAACCCATTACAAATGCTATACAAAGCAGATTTAAAATTGATTTTTTTATGAATATCTTCTAGTACTGAATACATAATTTAAAAAACAAATTCGATCAACTGTGAACAATGTATTAAATGGGTGACCCTAGAGCAACAACACAATATATTCTTGTGCGTCTCTCATTAACTAGCTCGAAGAAGCTGATGGGGTTACAAACACACAGCCGCGGTCTGCGGTGATTTACCACTTGCGACACGTGATCATCTCTAGCATTGCGGCGCACAGTACCCTGAAGAAAACGATCCTGGATTGCATGAAAAACCGGGATAGAATTGTGTTGAACAATGACAACTATCATCGCAATTCGTCTTTCGCACCAAATAATCAAAACTATTGCAGGAAATTTGACAAGAAAGTGGACCTGAACATTGCGAATACTGGCAGTCGCTATTCATCTGTAATTGACGAGAAGATGATCCCAGCAATTGACCATTTGATTCATGCAATTTGCGCAAATAATTCGCCGAGGCACTCGCGTGCGTTTCGATGTCCATCTGCCCCAGCAAGCGCTGGTATGACGGCAACAACGTCGTCTTACCGAACCATGTGCGCAACAACCGCTGTGTCGGCATCATGTCAATCACAGGTAAACGCAAGACGTGCTTTACAGCCGGCATATGCATTGACGAGTACATCCACTTGTTGAAGTTTGAGCCCATCATGAGCGTCACGTGGTCGGGCTTCAGAATAGGTTGCACGATCTGACTGTCATGCGTCATGATGAGGAGGCCTGACTCCAAGCCGTCTTTTCCGGAAGGCAAAACAGACTTAAACGTCTGATTGAGGCCGTCACCATTAACCTTGTAGTAGGTAGGCGTTGAGAACACGATAAACATACCGTCGTTTTCGTGCAGCTCGAGTGCAAGGTCATTAGCGGTCGAGGCGCTCGTATTTGGTACGTGAGGACGCGCTGACGGACGTGCGCTCCTTTGACGAAGGCGTCTCGTAGGCGTGAAAGTGGTCGAGACGGACAGCATCCGTCATGAGTTGATGACTCGAGACAGTTTGACCGTAGCTATCCTTCATAGTAAAGTCAGTGGCATCGAGCGTCGTACCCACGCTAAGCACCACCATCTCAAGCAGCGATGAGAACTGGGTGTAAATATCCTTGTAACCCGGGCATGTCGTATCTGTGGTAATGGCAGCAGCGTTGGCATCCTGACCCGATGTTGCGCTGATGACGTAGCGCTTTGCACCATCCGTGAGTGTCTTGTGGTGGAGGAAATTGGGGTTGGCGTCTTGAGCCGAAACGGCACATGCAGCGGCCATGTTATGATAGGAGTCGCGTATCTGGGAGTAGGACGGCACGTTGCTAAAACTAATGATTCCGTCTTTCTTGAGCGCGTCGAGTACTTCATAGGGCGTGTTTCCAGTGGTGAGGGTTTCATAGCTGAAGACGGGGACATGGAATGACGGCACTTCCTCTGCAACGTCAATGGCTAAATTGCTTGCCATTGGCATGATAGCTAGACCGAGGAACATGCTCGTAGGTATAACCATGCCGACGTTTGATAGTAAATGTTGTTGATATACTGTGTTGTTGAAGGCAAATCTAAAAGTGACAAGGATAATGGCGCCGTGAGTACCAACTTGTTTGCCGCGTTAAGTGTTGAATGTGAGACTAATTATCTCGCAAATTACGGCTTCGAATTAGGGAGATTTTTGCGAGGTGATAAGAAATAAACTTGTCTGCGAAACTACCAATGACCCAGCACGCGTTTTACTGATGCGTACCATCGCCTCACAAAAACATGACGCAAGAGGCGAGAGTAGCAAGGACTGCAATGACTTCTTTCTGGTGCCGTGGCCGTGAAGGTGGCCGACGAGTCGAGCGTGGTCGTGCTCTTGGGTCGCAAAACGTTCAACAAGAATATTCTATTCGCGCGGTAGGAAGCCAACCGTCATCTTATATCCTACTGTCAAACAGTCTGTGGGTTGTACTTGGGTTCAAATGATCTGTTTATCACACAATGGCTTGTATTTATAAGCCATATGTCCACATCGTCTTCCTGGTTCAGTCATTTCAATAGAAGTAAACACTTCTATTAGTATGTCGAAGAAATTGTCTCAATTGTATGCGTTTGGACTTGATTACGTCGATAAGTCCGGACAAATCAGTTTTAAGGACCAAGGATTCATGCAGTGCATCCGCTATGTTTTCGGATTGGCCATAAAATTGCGGTGACAAGGGATAATAGAGTACCGTCTCGCCGTCGTGGACGAACGACCTCAGTGGGGAAGCACATGAGCTTAAAGATACTGGACAGTTTTACAATCGATTTTTTTTTTGCATTCAAAGGCATTAAGTTCTCTTATCCTAGCGGCTGTACCGTATAACCTGCGCATGGTAAACAAGTATAGAATGGCTCCCTAGACAACACAAACGAAATATTGTCTTATACTGTGTAGTAAAGAGTAATGAATGGTACATATATGTACAATTCTCGTGCCGAGATACGGTATAGAAGAAGTGCTAACCAAAAGGAATTTTATAAGCTTAGTACCAAGATTGTTAGCCACTGTATCTTTGGTTTTGTTTACAAACTACTGTAATCTTGTGGATAGGGGTTCAATAACAATCCAACTTGTGGATGCTTTTCATATCCTTTGCAGTTAGCCGCCTATTCCCGCAAACACTCTCATCATATTCCAAGGTTGCAGCTGAACCCTTCTTGGGCGCATTTTATCCAGTACCGTACAATGACACGCGTGGCTTCATCTTAGTGGCTTCATCTTAGTGGCTTCATATTTATGACCTTTGTTGATAAACTAGACTCCTGGTAGTCGCATAGCGATCTAAAAGGAATGTAAGGCGTCATCAAATGGCTTCACGGTGTACGCAACAGCAGACCGTATTTGATGACGTTCTCAGGTACTACTTATAAAGAATGCACTTGCACGTAGGGAATTGGTGGACTGTGTTGGTGGAGGAGGACTTGAGATCATGTGCTACATCCAAGCGGTCGTTGTTAGACTAGACCAGGATGTGTTCCGCATAACAATGTCTTAAGGTAGTGTGGAATATAATGCGTAAGCTAGTGGTGAAGGTTTTACACTGAAGAATAGCCGCAGTTTAGTACTGTAACATACGACAATGACCGCGTTGTTGACTCGTAGAAAAGCTGACACCTCGATGCATGATCCATATCGTGAACGAATACCAGAGCCAGGACGGCACTCATCGTTCATCGTATCTACGTTGCGGCCATATTCCTACCTGATCGTGCCAAAGCCGTTCCCCCGCCCTCTCAAGAATCACACCTCTTGACGCAGGAGCCATACTTATGTACTAAAGCGCGGACGTGACGCACACGCAAGAGATCACCAACTTCTATTTAGTGCATCAGTCGATAGACAACCTTTGAAACGAAGGCATTTGCAGCAAACGGTTGTTACGCATAAGAAAACGGAGAAACTACGCCAGCTTTCCCCGGCAGCACGCAGCAGACAACTGCATCAACAATGGCAACGTCAGCTTTCCCGCTTCGCAAGCCCAATGTGTAGTCGTGTTTGCCTGATCCAGTCGTACGCGGGCATCTGAAAGAAGCGGTTTGAGGCCGATTACCACATTTGACGGGACAAATTGTCCGACATAGCTCAACCACATCGTGAGTCGGCCGAAGAAGACAGTGTGAGTACAGTTGTCTCGCCTTTGCGTGGGTCCATCTCGTCCTGCTTTATTAAGTTTTTTTCGTCTTTTGTGCAGATTCAATCGGAGTGTCACGAATGCCACTATGATGTCAACTGCAAGTGCTTCAGCTCCATCTATCACTAGTTCCTTATCTGCTACAGCGTCAGCATATGCGTGGTCAGATCGAGAAAAACTGCATGGAGACCTGAACGATCCACATGCACTTCTGAAGGCAACTTTGCGCTCTTTACTCTTTGACTCTATTTTCTCTCCATATGAATGCTGCGCCGACTGGGGCGCCGTTATCACCACCGTTCTTGCCGCGGGACAGCCAGCCCACGATGACGTCGACGGACTGCCGTCAAGCGAACAGGAGGTCTCCAGCGGGACAAGCCTCCGTTGGGAAAGCGTCCGCTATTCGGGCGCGTCAAATACCGTTGCAGACAGAAATTTTCTGGGGCAAGTGAGCGCTAGCAGGTACCGTGGGCAACCGATCCCATGCTTCCTAATGCGTCAAGTACGTCCTCCTCGTTTAGGTATTACTTGCGTCGAATGGGTCATCCTATTTCCAAATAAAAATAATATGATTCTTAAGGAAGAAGGCCGAAAAACGAGCTAGGCCCATAATCTGATTAGCTACCGCCATGAGAGCAGGCATCATGTACCATTCGCTTGGTGCCGACTAATGACAGATGGTAGCCGCCAGTACTTCTAATTCAGTAGCGGGAGCCATAAGTTCCGCAGTTGTTCCTCTTTACTTTACGTGCAGTTCGTATCGTGACAAAATGGGCGAGAGAGCCCAGAGAAACTGTACGATGACTGGTTGTTTTTCGACAATAGGCTGTCCTATACTAGCGTTTTTTAGCAATACTCGTACCCGATTTTAATGGCTGATTATAAGTTGCACGGACTTTGGAGACAAGGTGATTACGTTTCCAGTTCGATACCAGATTGTATTACCTCCGCAGCGGCTCCAAATTCTGTTTGAACTGATTACCTTGTCAGACCAAAGTCTATTCAAGCTGAATACCTTGTCACGCATTCGTTTGTAAGTCGGTCCGGTTGGATTCATTGCATCCGCGCCGCCAAATCACACCGTTTCCGTGCCGTCAGATTTTGTGGCTTTTGCCCGCTGCGTTTTGTCGATCGCCCCGACCAGTCAAAATTACACACTGTACCAATGTTGTCATATTAGGATGGTGCAGCTACCCCACACCCGACCTGAGTCTGGTGAAGGTTTACCAAAATCTCTGTAACAACCTAATCCATTTTCCCTGACCGTACGCGACGGTAGGCCCGTGGAGGCTGCGATGGTTTTCCTGCAGCGGCGATGTAAGATCACTTCCTATAATCGATATCCTCAGGCGGCAGGGACGGCCACGCCCATTGGACTTGATCTCTCGAGTACCTGCAACGTAAAAATCGGTCGACACCCACTAGCTACGTTAGTAACTAGGCTGATCGCGGAGATTAGCTACCAGATCGTCCAGAAAGGGCTCAATCAGATCGGCAACACCGACAGGACAACGCTAAGGGCACCATGAGCCAGCCAGCGGCGGACTATGAGGCCAACTCGATATTCTCCCCCCGAGTCGATTAAGATGTGGATTTTGACATCAGTTGAAGTCATCAATCAAGACATTCGGATGGTATTGTGCTCTAACTTTGAAATGTTGATGATAAGAATGCTCATGTTTTGAACGGGTGTATAGCGCATCATGTTGACCAAGACCTCCCGGTGTAATAACAAAACGCGATTTGACGTGAATGACCCATGGCCAAATCAGGCGAGAGCAAGATCGCGAGTCCAGCAGAGCTCGCCTTAATGCACTTTATGGCATGAGGTCCAGCCCAGTAGTTTCCTTTATCCTCCAGCTCAGGTGCCACTTTCCAGTGGAAAGCGTGAGTTATCTGGACCTTGTCATGCTGGCGTCCATTTTTCTCGAATATGTATCTGTCAACATTTTTCGTAACAAGGCGCTGTCGACCATCGGCAGATCCTAGTCCCGCAGTAAAAGACCAGAGTATCGTGTCTTGCTAGAGTCGCCCAAAGGTGTAACGGGGTTACACGACGGTTTGTATTTTAAATACAACATTAGTGTGGCTGTATCGCTGTGACCGTACCTAAGGTACGAAGGGTCGCATCGTGGCAGAGAGCCACGCGGTCACTATACTTCGTTAAGTAAAGTGACTACACATATTTAAGTGTAGTGACCATACATGTTTGCATAATAATAATAGGCTATTGTGGTGAAGCGTGTCAAGAATTGGTAGGTCAGAGGACCGGTGGGGCAAAGAGAAGAGGACCCACCAAGGAGGAGCGACCGTTGGGTAAAAGAAAGAATAACAGGGCACTAAAAAAGGGACGGGGAACGACCGTTGGATGAAAATAATGTGCAGTTAAAGCGCCATTCAGGGGAGTCAACCGCGATTAGCTCAGTTCCTCGAAGTGGACCCTGGTCTATAATTGATAGACCTCAATTTTTCATAAAAGTAGACCCTGGCCCTTCGGTCGGCAAACCTTCGGCCCCTTTCCCTAAAGGTCGACCTTGTTCCTGCATCAAAGGACCTCGGCCCCTAAACCCCTGGCCCCTGGGCTCTCGGCCCCCTAGGTCCCTGGGCTCTCGGCTCCTCGGCCCCACGGTCACTAGCCTCTCGGTTCCTCGGTCCCTAGACTCTCGGCCTCCCTGGGCTTTCGCCTCCCTGGACTCTCGGCCTCCCTGGACTCTCGGCCTCCTTGGACTCTTGGTCACTCGGACTCTCGGCCTCCCGGCCCCTCGGTCTATATACCCTAGCCAAGCAAAATCAAGAATCAGGTCTCGGGGGTAAAGATAGAGTAGAAAAGTTAAAAGATAGGACTATATTAAATATTACTCAATTTGAGATCTCCATAGCACACCTCCGTCGTGCTTCCAAGGTACTTACTAAATCTACCCACCTGTTCCGGAAAGGGATACATTTTGGCCCCCCCGTCGAAGACACTTGTGCGGTAAGACCCAAGTGCGAACAGAGCCCCAGGATATATTTGGCCAGTGGGTTCGTCTGAGTAGCACCCCCCAAATCAACCTGCTATCGGAAGCGTTCTCCCTACCCGTTTAGTCCGGGAGCAAGTAAAGGCCAGGCGGTTAACACCCCTGAGATATCAAGGAGAAGGAAAAGGCCAGGGTTGAGAATCTCCCCTGAAGAATTCGGTTATAAGTCCACCCTCGACCTAGTCGACCGAGTGGCCACCTACCCGCCTACCGAGTGAAGTATATCCACTCGAGGCACCCCAAGGTCGACCTCTCTTAAGGCCGACATCACATCTCAACCAAGTCCTCCGAAGAGTGCAACCCTCCAGCCGACGGGTACACAAGGTGAGAGCAGGTCAATACGCGGTATCGGGGTAACCAACTCTAGAACTCGAAATGGTCCATCCCAGAGGTAGGCCAATTTCTTGGCGTACCCCTCTTTCACTCGGTCCAGGTAGAGCCACACTTATGTTCCCGGCTGAATCTTGTGGTCGACCACCCCTTTGTTATGGGCTAGGATCCAATCTTGACTGGCCGCTCGTAGGTTCTCATTCACCTGGGCTCTCGCCCGCAGGTACGTAGTTCCATCAAGTTCAATGTCATCTGGGTCGTATTCGCACGACCCGACCGATTCCATCTCCACGTCGGTCATCTCTTGGTCTCTTGCACCTTGCATGCCTGCACTTGGACCCAGCTGGGCCGTTGACCTCTAAGCCCTCTGTCGACCTCTGACCGCACTTCCATCGATGTGTGCTTGCGGTACTTGGCGTTCTTGTAAGAATCTTGCCATCGCAACGTCGTATGCCTGTAAATTACCTACCGAGTCGGTAGGCACTCCTCCCTGGGCTACTCCGTCACGTGACGAGGTGTAATTCGGTACTGGTCTTGGCTCATTTCTGATTGTTGAAATTCGACCTATCAGAAGCCAGACTTTCCATTGGCTGTACACATGTGGCCGTCTCGTGAGCTCGCTGCTTGTCGTCCGCGCTCTCAGCTCTGGCCTGCAGCAGTGGCGTGCCCGTTGTTCCTAGTGGCATTCGGCCCACGTGACTAGTGACGGGCGACCCTCGCGACGATTGCCTTGCAGACTCCGGAGGTCCCTGAGGCAAGGTGGTCTATGATAGACCTCGTATCGACCATGGGTCCTCGTTCGACCATTGCTCTCGAGGGTGGACCTCGATGTCGTGCAGGGCCACTCTGGCTGTCGTCCGACGGTGCTTTTGCGGCGGTCGCAGGAGGTGAGTCGAGTAGTACTGGGGTTGTTCTCACCAGGATACCCAGACGTTTGTGTAGGATTTATAACGTGGTCTTGATATTGTTGAACCCCAGGGAAAACAAGTCTTCAGGCTCAAACCTTCCTGCGACCATACTCACCTCGCGAAGAAGGGTCACGAGCGCGGTGATCGCGGCTGTCACCGTCCTCAGCTTGGGAAGGGTCGACACAGGCTCACTGAGCTGTCCCAGCAGTCGTATCACGAGGGCTTTGGTGACGGGGTCACTCTTCAAGAACGCGTCAAGCTTGGGTCGATGGTAGGCCATGGTCACGTCAGCATCCGACTAGGACAAGGGTCCTGAGGTCGAGGTGCCTACCGACTTGGTGTCACCTGGTGCCTTCATCCGGATCTTGGTCGGCTTGGACATGGCAATCGCATTTTTGTAGTTTTGTATAATAGTCTATCGGTTTTCACCTTCGACTGGTTGTCCTCTGGGGCATGATAGATATCATGATCCAAGGTGTCCTCGACGAGGACATATGGAGGGTATTTCGGTTTCTTTTAATAAGTTCAGCCTTGACCATATTGAGCAGGGTTCCTCCCAAGGTCCGGCCGGTCCTTAGATCCTTTGTTGTTTCCTTGTGTAGTCACTGGCGATCGGTCTTCTAGTAACTCTTCGGTCTTTTACTCAATCTTTGCTTGAACATCTTCATCTTCTTGGTACTCGCGGTGATATCATGCGTCTTCCAAAGATCCGGAAACGCGCACCATTCTGATGGAGTGGGTTTTCAAAACTGCGTAATGAGACCCCAAGCCACTCACTTTACTGGACTGCCGACTATCGGAGGGGGAAGAGAACCCGCAGCGCGCTTGGAAACTAGAGGTACGAAGTACAGGCTATTCCATGTGGTACATCTGTCCAAGCGCAAGAGGGAGAGAGTTCCCCGACCGACCTAGTGCCGCGTTAGAGACGGACGAAATAGATCGCGTCGACTTCGATGAGTGCCTGTTACCGGAGGACAGTTGGGCAAGAGAGCTGGAAGAAGGAGAGTACGAGGTCGAGGAGATTTTGGGAGCTCGCACTGGAAAGAAAACACGTTACGGGAGACAGCAACGAGAGCTCCTCGTCCGATGGAAAGGGTGTGAAGACCCCTCGCGGGTGGATGTAGTGGCTTTGAATTGGGGAGCCTTACTTCGGGATTTCGAGCGCAAGAAGACAAGAAAGAATCGTTTCAAAGCGATGGAAACTTATGAGAATCAGAGGCCGAAACTGAGGATCTTAGGCAGTCGATCAGAGTCTATAGTGGGTAGATCGTGGTCGTTTTTGTGAGTAGAACTTGGTCTTCCGAGGTTGACCCTGGTTCATCATTAGTAGACCTTGGTCTTTTCGAGGTTGATTCCGGTCACTCATGGGCAAACCGTGGTCTTTCGATGTTGACCCGAGATCCAACTGCTGGGTCAGCTCAGTGAGCCTGTGTCAACAATTTCCAAGCTAAGGACGGTGACAGACGCGATCACCGCGCTCGTGACCCTTCTTCGCGAGATGGGTATGGTCGCAGGAAGGCTCGAGTCTGAAGACTTGTTTTCCCTGGGGTTCAACAATATCAAGACCACTTTATAAATCCTACACAAACGTCTGGTTATCCTGGTGGGAACAACCCCACCCCCCCCCCCCCCCCCAACAAAAAAAAAAACCAAAAAAAAAAAAAGCCCAAAACCCCCCCCCCAAAAAAAAAAAAAAAGAGAAGCCCCCCCCCCCCCCCGGGGGCCCAGAGAAAAAGGCCCCCCCCGGCCGGGGGCGAAACCCCAAAAAAAAAAAAGGGCCCCCCCCCCGGGCAAGGGGAAAGGGGGGAAAAAAAAAAAAGAAGCCAAAAAAAACGCCCAGGAAAACCAAAAAAAAAAGGGGTCTGGGGGGGAAAATAAAAAAAAAAAAAAAAACAAAAACAACACAATCCCCCCCCCCGGGGGAGGGACCCGGGGGGGGGTGCTACCGACTCGATAATTTACAGGCGTACTTCGACGTTGCGATGGCGCAATTCTTACAAGAACGCCAAGTACCGCAAGCACACATCGATGGAAGTGCGGCCAGAGGTCGACAAAGGGCGCAGAGGTCAACGGCCCAGCTGGGCCCAAGTGCAGGTATGCAAGGTGCAAGAGACCAAAGATGACCGACGTGAAAATAAAATCGGTCGGTTCATTCGAATACGACTCGGAAGACATGGACCTCGATGAACCTCTGGCGAGAATGGCCATGCCACCCTGGGACAGGAGCCCAACATGGTCTTTCTTTGGTCTTTCTTAAGCTCTCAGAGACCTCAAATCTCAAGGACTTTTATGGAAAAGACCAAGATGAGGACCGAGCACGCAGCTGGTTTTTTTACTGTGAAAGTCTCGTTCACGAGGGCCCAAGCGCTAAATGGGGAGAAGTGTCCCGTTTTTGGAGGATTATGGACTGGACTTGCCCAGAACTGGTTTGTCAACTAGGTCGCTCTGTTCGTGGAAATTGGAAGGACTTATTACGGGAATTCCAGATGCAGTTCTATGGTTTGGGGGTACCAGTGGCCCGCCAATATTACCACGCGAAGAAAAGGTCGGACGAACTCCCGCTGGACTACCTGTACCGTCTGAATGTCATTGGACTTCAAGCGAAGATCAAGATCAAAGATGGTCCGCCCAAGATTCAAAAGGAACATGTCGAACGCTATATCGAGACCTTGGACGACCCAGACCTGGCGGACTAGCTGACCGTGTTACGTCTGGCTGATGTGGAAGAGTTGGAGGATTGGTGAAGGCGCGTCAACGGACGAAGGCTCACGGGGCAAAATGTTGTTTGGTTCGAGCAAGTTTTGCCAGAAAGCACCGATTCTCCCTGAACGGCCAAGAGAGTGGAATCGCCGCTCTGTCCATGCGTTTCGAGCGACCCAGAAGGCATCAACCTCCGAAAACTCCAGTTTGGACGATTCTGATAGTGACGGTGACCTACGGAGGTCTATCTTATGGCCACGGAGACGGAGAAGGACCAAGGACCAGGGACCTCGCACGGTGTCGGCGACCCCAAGTGCAAGATGCGCCCATTGTGGATACAGGAAGCATGAAGATTTGGGTTGTTGAAAGAGGCTGACCTGCGACCGCTGTGGAAAGAAGATTCATCCATCAGATCGTTGCCTGTTCGTGTGTCTAGGCTGTGCAGAAACCCACGAGGTTGGGAAGTGCCTGATGGAAGAGTTGTATTACTTGATCCGTCAGTGGTACAACCCGACCAAGCACGCTGGGATGTTGCCGGAGAAGGTCGAGCAGATGCTAAACTAGGACGCTCGCCAGATCTGAATCTGTTGCGAGCCGAGCGTTCTAGTTGTTGCATTTTTGCATATGTAGAAAAGCAGCCCAAGGGAGGAAGAAACATTCAGGATAACTCGATGGGAAATATATCGAAGTTTGAAAGTTACCCTAGGGTCCATGTTGCTTCTCTCAGTGCATCTAACGATTTTGTTCGGAAAAGTGAAGTGATGGAGTTGGACCTACTGCCGGGCGAGTCGAGGGGGGTATTGGAAATACCATGCTCCTACGAAATGGTTAGGGCAGGCCAAGGCCTTTGGGAAGATTAACAACGATCGAGCTAACTTGTTGTTTGATACTGGCGCCAAGATATCTATTTTGGATATCGCCTTTGCTCGTAAGGTAGGCTGAAAGATTGATGAAAGTGAGCGACAAGAATGTGTTGGTATCGGGGAGTCCGTGTATACCACAGAAGGTCGTACTCGCATCAAGGTCACCATGAGCGGAAAATTGGTATACACCTCTAAGGTGCGGGTGGGCTAACGCTGGTTCAAGATGCGATTTAAGTCATGGACTTCAAAGTCCCAGCCGGTATTTGACTAGATCTGGCGGATGGGACACTATGTCAGCCCGATGAGGTTCGAGTCCAACTGTCAGGACGAAGGACCCTTAGCGATAGCCGGATATCAGATGTGAAGTTGGGTCGATACGTGCAGATACCGGCCGAAGGATACCAGGAAGTGCCTCTAAAAAGGTCGACCTCGCACTAATGGAAGTTGTGGGTCACAAGGGGAGAACGATAGATCACGACTGTGAGCCAAGGGGTAGGAAGTCGGAAGTTCCTGAAGGTAACCAATGTCAGTACCCGGACACGAGGACACCAAGATAGGCATGCGGCTGACGAAGGATTAAGTACCAAGGGCGCAGGGTTTGTGTCGGTAGGGTCTCGAAGATTTGCCGAGTGGCTAAACCTGGTGTATGAATCTACCACCGACCAGGTCAACTATCAGGAAGACCTGAAGGGGAAGGATGAAGGACCATCGGTGGAGGTACCACAGTACAGTACTCCATCCGGCATACTATATCGATCAAGGGTACCTGTTCCAGTAATGACTATGAATTTTAGCCGAAGACCGATCAGGTGGACCAGGTAAACCCTTAAGTCGACTAAGTCGATCAGGTAGACCGGGTAGACCAGGTAGACCCTCAGGTCGACCTAGTCGATCAGGTACACCGGGTAGACCCTCAGGTTGACCAAGTCGATCAGATAGACCGCCAGGCCGTCCAGGTAGACCAAGTCGATCAGGTAGACCGGGTAGAAGCTGAAGGACCGCTGGTAGAGTCGCCACCAGCAGATGACCAAGTGTGCACGTTCAAAAGTGGGGAGCTCTCGGCCGAAGATGTAAGCCAAGGGTGAGCTATCATACCGGAGGTAGACCTTTCACCCACGAGTATCAAGTTGGAAGATATACAGATTCCTGACTGTGACGGAAACACCACAGAAGAAGTGGACCGACTGAGACAAATTATATGGAGAAGACAACATGTACTCATGGGAAAGGGTAACGCCTTACCACCGGCTGCTCGAGGAGCTATATGTGACATTGATGTGGGTAATGCCAAGCCAATTGCACAACGTGTACGGAAGGTGGCCCCTCAGTTCATAGAAAAGTTGGCCGATCTGATCAAGGGACTATTATCTGCGGAGATCATCCAGCCCCCATGGGCCAGCCCAATCGTCATTACTGTGAAGAAAATGGTGTGGATATCAGGCTGTGTATTGATTATCGGTTGGTGAACGGTTTGACCCAGCTTATGGTCTACCCTATGCCTTTAATCAACGAATTGTTGGAGGGAACGGAGCATTGTGGTACTGCTCCCAGGATTTCAGCACCGAGCGCGAGCCTCTCCAGTGTACGTACTGCGGAAAATTGGGGCACACGGCAAAGCGGTGCTGGACCAAGCAGAAGGATGAGAATCAAGGTGCTCGACGCGGCGGTAACAGAAGAGGACGCGGAGCCAATAATGTGCAGTGGCAAACCAGCAGCAACAACTACGACGACGATTACGATCGAGTAGCGTTTGCGGTTTCGCTGGAAGCAGGAATATTGACGGGAAGAGCATGCCTGGAGTGTGGGCGATTGGCTGCGGAGCAACGCACCATGTATGCAACAACAAGGCCAAGTTCACGACGCTGAATGAGCAAGATGAAGGTGAACTGTTGGTGGCTGACGGCAACAAGGCCGCTATCAAGGGTTTGGGAACCATCATCGAACGAGTGGTTCTGCCCAACGGCAAAGAGCGTGACATCGAAATCAAGGATGCATTGTTCGTGCAGAAGATGAACAAGAATCTGCTATCGGTGCCGCAGATCAACAAGAGTGGAAAGTTTCAAGCGGTGTTCGACGGTGCGAGTATGCACAAAGCGCACAAGAAATCATCGAAGCAAGCGGTGGAAACAACGGACCTCGTCAATGGACTTTACTGGCTTTGTACGCCACAATGTTCGGCAAATGCAACAAATTCGGCAAGCAGTGTGAATCTTCACGCACGAATGGCCGGTTGATGTGTTGCGCAAGATGGTCAACAGCGGTATGACAAGGACGCAAAGGCGCCATCGTCGACAACTGGCATATGCCATGGATGCCAGCAAGGGAAAATGGTCCAGAAACCGTTCCCGAGCAACCGTGACAAGCGCCGCTAGGACACGTTTGAGCTTCTCCACTTCGACATTTGTGGTCCTATGGAGCAAGAAACACTGGGTGGTAGCAAGTATTTGCTCCTCATCGTGGACGAAGCCAGCGGATGCATGAAAGGTTTTTGCCTAAGTGCCAAGTCTGAGAGCAAAGAACATCTCAAGACCTACATCAAGATGGTGCAGACGCAGTTCAACAAGCAAGTCAAGTTCGTGCGTCACGATGGAGCTCGAGAGTTTGCAACCAACTCTCTCAAGGCGTTCTACCAAGACCAAGGTATTGAGCAGCAGACCACGGTCCCGTACGCGCATCAAGCCAACGGAACAGCGGAGAGAGCAATTCGGACGATTGTCACGAT